CCCCCCCCCCCACACACAGCTCATTTTTCTAGATCCATCACCCTCTCACCACAACTCATTTTTCTATCGATTTTATCATTTCTTTTGGATGGCATGTCTTGCTCCCCTACCACCATTTTTTCGGGGTTATAGATATTTTAGCGGCCTCTAGACCCGTGACTCCAGTCACGGGCATTACGCTAGTGTATGAATGATCCTTTCGATGAATGTTCCAGGGCCAGCTGGATCGTGAACGGGATGCAGAGAGTGAAGCGGACGCGTGTTCGCGGTGCCTCTCGGCGGGGGCGGGGGCGGGGGAGGGCGGGGGCCTGCACGTGTCGGAGCAGCTGCGGCTGTCGCGGGGGCAGCGGAAGAAGTCGGTGCTGGTCGTCCTGGCGCTGTCCTTCCACTCTGTCTTCGAGGGGATGGCCATCGGTCTGGAGCGGAACCTGGACGACGCCCGCTACCTCTTCGCCGCGGTCGCCCTCCACGAGTCGACCATGCTCTTCTGCATCGGCCTCGAGATGGTCGCCTCCCAGGCCGCCCCCACGCCCACCGCCACCATCGTCCTCAACCTCGCTGCCCTCGCACTCGTCTCGCCTCTCGGCAAGTATCCACCACAGTCAACATTGTAATTGAATCAGCGAGTTCGAAAACACACCAACTCGGGAAAAAAAAATTGCTCAGAAAATACCTGGACGTATTTCTATCAAACAGAACTATGTATAGGTGAGAAATATGGGGTGTGCTCAGAGGGTGTGCTCGTTGAAGCTGCATAAGAAACAATGTGAAAGTGGGCATGATTCCTTTTGAAGAATTAGAAAAGCGGGATTTTAAATTCAGCAAAGAGAACTATGCGGCAACCGAATGCAGGATTCATGAGCCGCGAACATGGCACGAGAGCAATGTGGACAGGGCTCATGAGTTAAAGCGCCCCGACGACGATCTCCCCCTCGCGCCCCGGCTCCACCATTGCCGCTGACGTCACTGGCGCTTATTATTCTCATTCATTCTTACGGCCAGAGTACTGACGAGCACACCCCATATTTCTCACCTGCACATAAATCTGTTTGATCTGTTGTCACTTAATCATACATATAATAACCATGAAATTAGACTCATAATAACACGAGTGAAATGTGGATATCAGTGTCATATGCTAGTTAAATATGGCTTTCTACCAATTTCTACTCAATACATTTGGAATCATTGTTTTGAACAACTTTAAATATCTGAGTGCGTGTCTTGCAAAAGCGTATACATCAAAAAATAAGACGATGTGCGATACGTCCACCTAAAACTCCGCAGCGGGCAAAAAAGTTAGTTCAAGAAAAACCTTTTTGGTGCCAAAGGACAGGTACTTTAAGACTTTGTAAAGCACCAAGTTGAAATTGATACACCATGTTTGATGACAGAGAATTAAGCGTTTAAAAATTTCCGAGTTGGTGTGTTTTCTTTCTCACCGACTTTTAGATACTGATTTTTCATAGTCTGCCCTGAAAAATGTATATTTTTCGACCTGGATAACGCTTGGATATTTAAATAACTTGTTGGTACAAAGTATACCTGCTGAACTGAAAAAAGAAAACTGCTCGGATGGTCACCCGTTTCCCTCAAAACGGCCAAAAAGTGGTATTTCCAATGAAATTCTTCGATTTTCCCCTTTTCCCATCGCTGTTTCGAGCACTTCCGATTGCAATTTTGAAATTTCCTTTTGCGTGCAGATGCTTCTATCCATAAGTGTTACTAAACCGTAGAAAAGTGAAAATCGAAAAACCCCGAGTTGGTGTGTTTTCGAATTCACTGATTCAATTAGGGTTCCCGTCAGGGACCTCGTGAAAACCGCCAAATGTCAGGGAATTTTTAAAAGCAAGGGAAAACCTGGGTCCCTGCGTCCTGGAGATATTGGGCGTTAAGGATGCAATGGAGAATTTGCACACCAAAATTCTATTGCTTCATCTGAGAGTGCCTAATGAGCCGAGTTCGAAGTATTTTTCATACTTTTTTTCTGACATGGAAAATTGGAGAAAAATAGAGTCAAAAGTGAGAAAATGTGGCCGCCTTATGACGTTATTATCTGGTGGCATTTTCCATTTAAACACATGTATTTTAGCAGACTAGGTTATTTTGTCATATTTTCTCCAATAAGTGTCCAATTTAGATACCAAAGATATCCTAGTGCTTAGATTTCCTAACAGTATCATCTTAAAGATGAAATTTACAAAATGTAAGACACCTGCAAATTCTCTATTGTGCACGATATCATGGCCAAGCAGTTGGGATGAGATTGCAACGTACTCAAACGTCAGTATGGTAGGTAATGGTCGTGAAAGTACAACACGAAATAAATGTAATGTCAAACTATAATAAAACAAGAAAAGCCGACCCATTGGATTTTTCCTGTGTACGATAACTTCGCGACGGCGCGGCGCGACGTTCGGCCGACCAGCGCGTAACGCGCACTGGCCCCTACAAACCTAAGGGGATACTTCAAGCATCGCGCTTTGCGTGAAGTATCCCCTTAGGTTTGTAGGGGCCAGTGCGCGCTTCGCACGGGTAGCACGCGGCGCAGCGCGGGCGTGCCGCGTTGCTTCGAGGAACTGTTCAGTGGCGTGGCGTGAATTGCGATATATCGATTGTTATGCCATTTAAACCTATGGTAAAGAATCGATTATTAAGGTGTTCGCTGCGAACACCCTGTTTATCGATCCTTTTCCATAGGTTTAAATGGCATAACAATCGATACATCGCAATTCACGCCACGCCACTGGAACTGTTTCGCCTCGGAGGTGATGCATAGTATCATACGAGATTGAATTTACCTCAACGTACCGTGCTCGACGCCATCTTTCAAAACCACGATGTTCCCTCGCAAATTAAATCGAGTGACGACGACATAAAGGGAGTGGTATAGTCGAAAACTTTCCAAGTCCTGGTATCCGTGTTCAGTAACGTTTAGCATGATTTTTGAACTTCATTAGAGGAAAAAGTGACTTGATTCAAGCAGAAATATGCTCAAATTTACCGCCAAGAAGATTTCCTTATGAATCCAAAAATGAAAATAATGCTTGTACGAAGAAGAAAATATGCTTATATAAAGAGGAAAGTCACATACACCAAGCAGAAACCCGCCTTTATTCAGCTATTTTATTCTTGGTTCAAAATAAAATCTTCTCGATGGCATACTCAAGAATGTCTCTGCCGAAATCGAGTTCCTTTTTCCTCTAATGAAATTTAAAAATCATGCTAAACGTTATTAAACTCGGATGTTAGGACCAAGTGAGTTTTTGAAGTACAGCTCTCTTTTTGTGCGGTAGTATCTTGATTTATCCTGCGAGGAAAGCTAGTGCTCTTAAAGGATGCCTGTCAGGCTTTATGCGTTAGAGCGCCTTCAATTTCATATGATACTGTGCAACACCTCTGGTGCGAAATAGTTGCTTCAAGCGCCGCGCCGTGGCATTCCGCAGCGCGGCGGGCAACCAGGTGCATAGGCGCCTTCAAACCTAACAGGGATACTTCACGCATTGCGCAATGCGTGAAGTATTCCTGTTAGGTTTGTAGGCGCCAGCGCCCGTTCCGCGCTGGCAGCACGGTTCCAAGTGGCTCACTAAGTATAATTTTCTGGTCAGAAAAGCTCCTTGAGCCCGGTAAATCGCGCGCTGAGCCTCCGGACTACGCGCAATCGATTTATCGCCTAGGATCTACTACTACAACTTAGCCCACCACTTAGGATTCAACACTAATCTCGATATTTTTCTTCGTATTGGTGATTGAGAAAAATCGACAGTGACCGCGGTACTATGGCGTGAATGGGTCTGTTGCATGAAAAGATTCAGCCAATAGAATACTGATGTTAAGGATAAATTTGCTCGAAAATCACGTTGGGCACATCAAAAAAGTCCGAAATCATCACCTTACAGCGCAATCTGCGCAGTTTGTAACCCGCTTTTTCAAGTTCCCCGCGTTTCCGGGCAGTTTTTATTAATTTCTGCCAACCAGATTTGCGCAGGCAGATGAGTGAGAAAAAAACTACCCAAAGAAACAAACGATTGACTAACTTTTTCCTTTGTATGATTCCATTTGTATGCAATCGATTGTTTCCTTTTCCTTTCTTTATTTTCCATAAATGAAAGCTTTGAATCAATTGAACTTTTCCACCAGGAGAGTTTATAACAATTTGCAAGATTGTTTGTTTCTTTAAATTATGGTAGAACAAATTGTTACAAAAAATGAAAAAGAAGTTCAGAGACCTTACCGTAAGGAGGTGATGTAGGTATTTTGACTAAACACTGAAAAAAATTCTCGGCGTTTTTACCAAGATCCGTTGGTACCTTTACCATCTCACTTTTTTTTACCAATTATTGGTAATTTTACCAAGACAGACTGGTAAGCTTACCTAAAAACCGGTATTTTTACTGTTTTTTTCAAGTAAGAATACCACTTTTATTGGTAATCAATTCCCGGTAACTTTGCCATTTTATCTCGATAATTCTACCGCAGTCGATAAAAAATATTGGCGTTTTTACCAAGGTCCAGTAAAATTACCGAGGAAGTTCAATAATTTTACCAAGATTACACGCAAATCCTGTGCACGTGTTTTTCTTTAATTTAATTCATTTTTACGAAATTTCTTTTGGCATAAATGGGTCCAGTTATACTATGATCGATGTTTTACCCCCTGCGGGCTGATTATTGAAATTGATAGACAAAGCGATAAACAAACAAGACATAAGGGTACGGAGCGATCCCATTGGTTGAAATGGGTGGCTCTTATAGACAAAAGTAGACAATGATGGACTAACTAAATGGTATCTCGTAAAAGTCTCGTAAAAGTAATGGTAACGTAAAAGTCCGATTGAAACTATCTGAGCAAGATTGCAAATTTTCGGCTATCCAAATGATAAATGCTCTACCCTGGAATATCAAAAAACAACTCCGCGACGGTGATATCCGGAAGTTTTTCAATTTACTTCGCGATCTTCTTTTGAGCAAGGCTTTTTATAATTTGAACGAGTTTCTAAACTCATCTGTTGTGTAACGTTCTAACCACCAACTAATCTACAGTTGTAATTTATATTTTTAATTATTGTATAGTGTTTCTTGACCTGTGCCATAGCCCTAATAATGGGGCTCCCATGTACAAAAGTTTTAATAAATAAATAAATAATAAAAATCTCGTGAGTTGCCGTTGGTTAGTCTACTACCTAACTCCTATGTCCATTGCAACCACTCGTTTCCATCAATAGGATCCCTTCATATCCTTTTTGTATTTTTTGTCTAAGGCTTTGTCTACAAATTTCAACAATCAGCCCGCTGGTCGCCACGCGGTCTAACTCTAAACGAGTCATGGCGGAGGCAGACATTTTTCATGAGGGAAGAAAAAGTAAGGTCCGAAGTCTGAAAATACCTAACATCACGAAATATAACGCTTTTGGGAGAAAATTCCCCTGTCATGATATGAAGGGGGGAGGGTTAACCGCCGCTCATATTGCGCTAGATGCTGCATTGAACAAAAAGTTTGGTAGAATTTACCATTCCTTCACGCTGTATTTCACACAGCGTCAATTAAGAGTCAATTCTACCAGAGGAAAGGTAAACGTTACCAT